TTTTTAATAGTTCTTTTATTTATCAGAGAGATAGAATTTGTCTTTAGTGCTCTTTTCTTGCGACTGCATTAAATCACTACACTATAGCAGTAGTTTAGGATGTAGTGTTATCCGTCTAGCCAACTTATAATCTATTTGAGTAATTAACATGCTGGACCAATAATACGATTATTTTATACGTATATAATATTTTCATTTTATGTAAATTTTAGGCAAAATTAGAATCAATAGAATAAAATAGGAGATAAAAAAAGCACTGATTTTACCAAAAAGTCTGTAGAAAACCTAAAAACTACATGGTTACCACGAATTTTAATTTTCTCACAATGCTGGCCTTCACACATACTAGCGTCTGATCTCACTGCAGTCGTTCGGTATATTGAACACCCGTCCAACTTGTCTACTCACTGATTTGAATTTTTCGTTTTTTTAAGGCCACCAGATGGAGCAATGACGACGCAGTACGGACAGAAAGCTGCAATTCATTAGCTTTGTCAGCGCATCTCGGTGATGGCTTAAAACTTAAAGGACATTTAAAAGATCTGGGTCCAAATGTGAACATACATTGGTTTGTGTTTGGAGTTAGCCGTATGATAGAATGCCTGGCAGCGGTATCGAATGTAAAACTCAATTGATTTAGCTTTGTCGACGAGAGTTGGCATAAAGGTCATTACGTCACGTCACTACATTATCACGTAATGCATTGTCACCTCTTACGTGGTCTGTCGGATTGACGAAATGAAGTCAGCAAAGGGCTCGGAACGAACTTTAAATTAGTCCTCGAATGTCACAAATCTAAGGTCTAGTGGCAGTTGGGTTGGGAGTCGTTCATGCGTAGCGTTCCTCTACTGCTGTTGCTGCTGCTAGTGAGCTCTTGGTAGCGCCCAAGTGGCGTCGATGCCCAGACGAGATACGGGAGAGCCAGTCTAGAAATCCAAGATAATTCCATTTGACTTTTTTAAGATACCAACAGAAAGCAGGAAACCAAGGCTTGAAACAATGATCGTAGCTTGTGTATTAGACTGAAGAGACTTCTCTACTGGAATGACTGGAGGTGCTAATAAGGCACAAGGTTGCCGCTTGGACCTAGCACGGAGCTTATTAAAACTAGCAGACTGCAGAACCCCTTCCGCCACTTCCCCCGTCACTGGCTCGCGTCGAAGTCGACGAAGAAACGCGCTCTGGCGAACACATCACAGCCCTACGGGAAAAGTTGCTTTTTCCATAGGACATTTTTACTGCTCCTGAAAAGGATATACAGCGGCAGAGCGAACGAGAGTAACGGCTGAGAAAACAAGCTGAGTTGCATATGCATTTCGTTAGCGATTTCTACCAATATAACTACGGGGTAAGAGAGGTTTCGTTAGGTCGTCCGTACCGTCACTGGAGTGGTGGTAAACGATGCTGAGTACGTTTAGCGTATACGAAGACGATGATAATATTATTTTCATTATAATATAGTGGTTTATGGGTACGCAAAACGAACATTTATGGGAAAAGTATGGGGGAAGGTAAACGATAATTGGTTTTACACTGCTTATTGGTGAGACCGTACGTAAGTACATTAGCATAAGGTATTATTATTATTGTTAATTAATTACTATCCCCTAGCGCCATGTTGTCCTTCGGTCAACACCTTCTGTGCACGTTTAACATGACTTAGTCTTTTCTATCTTTTGTGTGAGTTAATCCTTACTTCATGTCGGAAAAATCTAGGTCCGACCCGGGCACGCAGAGTTCGTTTCGTACTGGGAAGAGCTAGCAAGCTCAATAGCACTTGAGAAACTCGAAACATTAAATATTTAGTAATACTGACACTAACTTAGACTTACTACAGCGTCCCTGTGGGGGCTTTATGGGTATCCGTCATCCCCTCTATAGTTTTGTGGGTAACGCATTTGTCTGCTAGTCCGGATATATAGGCATGCTTCGTTTTGTGCTGGAGCCAACCGTCTAATGGAATTCTATACCAAACATAAAACTGAAAACATTTGCCCTTTGGTGGCGGCAAAGGATTTGGTGTGACTTATATAATAGGATAGGGAATAGGTTTTCTAGTTAAAAAAATGAACATACATTAACAGTGTCTTTTAACGGAACTTTTGTGCAAAGATTTCACGCTGCCTTCATTAACTGTGTTCTGAAATGGACTATAGGGGCAACACAGTCATTAATAACGCAGTTTCAGTGATGAACCATTGAGGGCATCCAGGTACTCTAATATGTCATGTAGTTTTTTTTTCTTATTAATTTTGTAGTTTTATTGCAGGCTTCAAGATACCGTGAGGTTCAGCCACATTATTATAAATTTATCAGTTCCCGATATTCAGCAGATATCCAATATTGCATTGGCTCTTCAATCAGTGAACATCTCAACTGGGTGGAATTGTGATACGGTAAGCACTATGGATTGGATGCATCAGTCAATCCGGTATATTTTATCACTATTCTAAATAGGAACCGTTGTCACTTAACATCTTCGAGCAAAAACATCTGCCGAAATCTTTTCCACTTGGTACTGGACAGTGTTTTGACATTTCCGTCCAGAACCGTCGTTTTCGAAATGCCTCTCTCCAAGTTTACCTAAATGACTTAGCGTCAGGCAAGCGATAATAAGATAACGGTACTCAATAGCCGTAGGGAGTACTTATTACTATTATTATCAAATATTCAAATCGGGGTTTCTGAACCTGAAAAAAGCTGTTTTTTTTAAGGAACCTTCAGAGACTCGGTTTTGAAGTAAATGGCTGTTTGAAGCTGCCCAAGCTTCTATTCTGCCCGAGAACGAATAGCCTTTTCTCATATAGTGGCGAGCAGTACTTCCACCATGGTTTATGGAGCATCTAGCCTACCGGATTCCGATCCTGGTGCTTTCGACTTGACATTCGACATTATTTAGACATTTTTAACGGAAGCGTTTTCGGTGTAGCGTTAAAGCCAGATAATGATTCGTTACGAACCATCAATTATTCATTCGACATAGCGTCGTGATAAAGACATCAACGGCATATTTGAAACATCCGAAGGTCCTTCGGCTTCTGTAGGTAGAAGTCAAGCTGATTGCATTTGATGGCGACGACGGTACGACTTTTCACACGTTTACTTTCAACGAAACCATTTGTTATTGGATCCTACTTTCGAATCGGGATATTCGCGAAAATGTGTATCTGACGTAGAGCACTATATCTGATGGAACAGGGTTACGTTTGCACCAGTTCGTCGGCGGCCGGTGCATTTCTTTACGGCGGCGGTTTTTATTTGAGGATTGTAAGACCTAGCTGTTACAACGCGGTGTAATTGTAGAGGGTTGATTATCAGTGATAGTGGCCGATTCGAATAGCATTGATGATTCTCTGACGGATTTTGGTGGTTTTTAATTATTTCGTCTCAGAAATAGAAATCTTTGACTTCTTAGAGTTTATCTAGCAGGTAACCATTCGCAATTTGGTCGCCATCCGATAAATTCTGGTTTCTATATAATTAACTTGATCGTCCTTACTGAACCTATTGTTTGTTTTCAGCAGGTCACGACTGGAACGGAGGTACATCTCTAGAATAGTATGCGCGTTAGTGTGCGCATGTATCGGCGAGGTATCTGTGGTTGTGTATCCTTATATTAAGTCCCACCTAGGTGTAGGCAGTCTGCTATATATATATATATATATTTCATTAACAAGTGTGGACAGACCTATTGTTTGCAGAAGGGGAAACACTTATTTCTTTAGGCCCTCGGACACTAATCGACAAGAGTACAAGTAATTCTACTTTTGTCCCATCTATTGGCCTTGTTCCATCGGCGTCTAAAGAATGTTGACCCGTGATTATTCCATCGTTTCATGGAAATGAAACAACTAGAACCAATTCAGCTTTGAGTAGATTAGTTGATAACAAACGCAATGATTGCTTCGGTTATTAATGACTATTCTCTATGGAACGACGATGAGAGACGAAAACAAATCGTTCACAGCTAAAAACGTCACGAGTAAATAGGATCAGCGTCTTTTATAAATATGAGGTATCTCAGATAGTAGACATAAGCCATCGCCACTATCTCGGTGATGGTTTTGTGCTTTGTGTATGTGTATATATGGATATATATATGTGTGTACTTTTTTGAATGTGATTTAAGGAAAGGTGCACTTGAAAGGTTTGAGTTTGTGCTTCTATGATTTACAACGATGCACACATAGGTGACGATAAATTTTCGTGAAATTATAATCGTTTCAGCCTTCGTAGGAACAGCTCTGCTGTCTCCTTGAGCCCCCCATACTACTATTAGTCCAGTGTTGTCCTAAAGCAACATATTTCTGTTAATTTGCAATGCAACTGGTCTATACAAGTACTAAATTTTTTCTGGAAGTTGGAACACAGTACTTTTGTAGAGGTAATAGGGACAGCTCAAATGAAGTGCTAGAAGTCAAAAAGTAATTTAGATTTTCTTCCCCCCCCCCCCCCTCTCTCTCTTTTAAGGAAACGGAGTAATGCGACCTGACATTTTGCGATATGCCCTCGTGCTTTTGGTTCTATTGGAGATGATTCTGCCATCCACAATGGGCGCTCTTGAAAGATACCAAAGAGCTCGTCGCCGAGGTACGTTTGATACTTAAAACCCCATCTGTGGCTTTAATAGAAGCTCGACAGAATAAATAAAAAAAAAAAAAAAAAAAAAAAAAAAAAAGCTATGCTATTCCATTTCTCCATAGAAAGGTCGTTGAGCAACTAGACGGTAGTTAGGCAATACTTTAACTATTATCTAAGTAAAGTTGAAAGTTTGGTGTAAAGGTCTATGGAGCCGTAGATTCTCACCATTCGTTTATTTTCCGATATCGTTCCTGTATTCCTTTCAGGAAAGCGCAAGCGTTCATAAAACAATTGAGGATGCCCTTTTCTTTCGCATGGAATTTTCGGAGAATACTTCCGTGCCTGTTGTTGAAAATTAGGCTGTGGTCCTGTTCTCTACAATCGAATCGTAACGAATACCTTTCGAACAAAATTAGCCCTAAAATGATTGGTAATGCATTAGCAGTGGGGCTGAGCGCAGGGACAGATCTCTTCGTCATTTACATTATATTTAGTGTTAGCGTTCGTTATTGACTCGCGCCGGATTCAAGTAAGTTCTACAACAATATTAGTAACTTTAAGAAGTTATAAACCTACTTTAAAATTCAATTTCAAAAAATTCTATGCCAAATGTCTCGGACTATATAATTATGAAAATGTCCTTACCGTTTCAGATGAATTTGTCGTCTGTGACCGGCCTCTTAATAAAAGACCATTCTCGGCTTAATTTCTTTAGTGAACTGCAACGCCAAAACCGGTCGATGGGTCTGAGTTTCTCTATGAGGGACGTGGAGGTTTCACTCACTTTGGGAACGGCGGGAGGATATGTTTACCTCACCGTTAATGATACGATACTACAAATCGTTTTGGAAATCTATAATAAATAGTGAAATGACAGTTTTAGCAATTTCTTTTATGGAATATATGTATATATATATATATATATATATATATATATATTATGGAAAGCAGGCGTAATACGATCAATGATGAAGACGCGGCATGTTCCTCTTTGTTACGTTATTTTTGAAAAATTTTTATTCTATATTGATCCACATCAACTCTGCACTAAGCTCTCTAGTAAAAACGCCCATATTGCCATTTGAGCAGTATTGGCTTTAATTGAAATAGAATTTAAGATCATCATTCTCTATCGGTATCAGTAGCATTTCAGTGACTCTGCCTTAATATATATATATATATAGTAATGTTAAATGTGTATATATATATATATATATATAAAACTGAGAGCAGAGCAAACTAATACATGGTTTGGGAAATTGTTTTCTAAAAGGCTGAAACAGTATATATTTTTTCATCAGTATACATAGTGGCAATTACGAAATAATGCAGCCTAGATCTGACTCTATTCTATTGGATAAAATAATGTTAATTTTTTCAGAAATCGAAGAAATTAACAGTGTATTAAATGACATTTCGACGTATAGCCGTTTTTGTACGATTTTACTGTTGATAAAATTTGGCATTTGGAACGAACCAAATTTACCTATCTGACCCAGGCATAAAAGTATTAACGACAAGCTGATTTTCGAAAAAAAAAAAAAAACAAACGAGAATGTTTCATCTGTTGGAATTCAGACGTTCACTCTCGAAGGGGCTACAAAGTAAAGATAGTTCGCGTGAATACCTTTCTCATTGATGGAGTACGTCAAACGGACTCGTGAAAATTTGATTGCTTTGCTAGTATTGGCAGTGTGTGAAAATACCCGCTGAGCTTCGACGTGCTCTGTGATCATAATAACATTAAGCTACGTAAAATTCGCTAGATAAACGATGATAGTCGATCCGATTGGGCGGGCCTGATCCCGATTTGTCGGTCGAACTTTCAGTGAACTTTTCAGAGATTTTTTTCTAACTATCAACGTGAGTTCAGCGTGAAGTTACGTTTGAGCAATGCGAATAAAGCTATACTTTTCTTGTATGCATCCACATCGTGCAAAGAACAATCGATTGTTATCGAACATGTTACTATGGACAGTTTTGGGTACTACGCAGAAAAGGCACGGATCCGATATAAGCGAAAGGACCACTGATTTGCCTAACTAGCAGTTAGGCCAATTGAATTTCTGCTTTCATCTTGCATGCTGTAGCGACTGGTTAACGATGCGTTGATATGCAATCGCATCTATTCATGGTCAAAGAGCTGCCATGACAACAATTGACCGATAATTTGCATTGCGTTGGTGAAGGACAACGTTGTACGGATCAAAGTAAAATACTAAAGCACTAAGTATCTTATAGTGAATATAATATACAGTAAAGTTACGGATCGATATGATTTGAAAAGGGCCAGACAGTGGATCAGATAGCGAACGACAGCATATTATCCTTCCGTATGAAATACGGTTTTAATACGCTAAACGTTATTTAAGACACGTATTGGTAAAGGAGTTAACGTTTATAGCAATCGACACAAGCCTTTCCTCTTAGACGGTATCGTATATTTTACATCTTGAGGTAGATAGTGCCCTTCAAGAAGCGAACATTTATATCCCAGACTTTATTTTCCGCTGAACTGCGTTCGCGTTACGTCAGGCATAGGTCTCCAGCATTGACACACGTATCTATTCGCACCTAAGATATAGATATACATATATATATAGTGCTGTGTGCACATCCTGAACTTCTTTAGTTAGGTGCAATTTATGTGTCGCAGGCGGGTCTCGAACCAGGGATTCGGTTTCTGATTTTCACCTGATCCATTAGTGGTGCCAAGTTTAGCAGGCCACCGCATTCTTCATGCTGCTACTGTATCAGAGGGATGTCCTCGGACCTGTCGATCAAGGTATCATTCGCCTTGGGGTGTCGTTGACTGTACCGCATATGGCTCAGTGTAGTGGGAAGTGACTTTCTGCTAAGCAGGTCTTCAATGCTATTTATCAACATCATCTGCATGTATAAACGCGTTCAAACAAAGGCCATTGGCACCTATCAACGCAGCAAAATGTCCCATGTTCAAATTCCGCGCTTAGCCTCTACAGGGCTAACGACCAATCATGTTTTTTTACAATGCAATTCATATTAGATGATTTATTGAGAATTATATTATTTCAATTTTCAGATAATTAATTTCTCTCTACCCAGTTTCATTTGAACAAACCCATTCTATACAGAGGTCTCTTTACCGGTTCAATAAAAATAAAAAAAAAAAATTGTATTTGTATAGAATTACGGTATCAGACGGCTTCTCGGGCAATTACTAATCATCGAGCAGAATTGAAGTACCCTTGATTCGTATAAATCAAAAAGGCTTTCCATTTAGCTATCGCTATACCTTATTCCCATCGTAAACGATCAAAAAACAAATAAAAGCAATTAATAATTTCCTATAAAATGTCGGTGGTCTATCATCAGGTTGTCCGTAGGATTTGAAGCATGACCCGTACGTATCATACGTCTGTAGACCAGAGCTGACATTTCAATGTCAATAGACCGCTCCAGAATTTCGAAGAAATGCTTGGAGTACGAAACAATGTTCTTCCAAGCGCCATCAAGTGCATAACCATTTGTTGAATTTTCTTAAGCAAGGATATGTTTCGATAAACGTTCAGTGTTAAGCATCAGTCGCCGAATAGATTTAATTAGCCAGATTCAATGGCAAAAGAAAATCAAAAGAAGCCATTTTCTACCTTGGAGTAGATCGACTTTACCATAGTAGAGGGTTGAAGAATACGACATCTGAGCTATACAGTCCTATGCGACGGCTATGTATGACTAATCTTTGGGGATCACAGTTACACCGTACGTCACAATGGTGAGACGGACATACCGACACATCTGGTCCTGTGATGGAGCGGTCTCTTTAAACAGGATAGGTATTATTGATAATTTAAGAGCGCTTCTAATCAGTATAGGCTTTTCCGATGCCCTGCTATTCCCCCCGTCCAAGTCTAACTAGACACGTGTACGTCGACCAATCCTGCACCTTCATTTGTACTGCGCGATGAAACGCATCAACACTGGCTACCAGTTGGCATCTTTCCAGTGTCAACGACAATTTCTAGATTGGACCCGTTGTCTGACTCTACGTACATGAATATTTATTATGATGTAATTCTCGCCACGGTATTATCACATGATTATCGTAACGCATCAACCATCATGTCATTAGTCCAGCACCCCTTAGTGTGGTTTGACGTTCGGTTGCCGTGCCCCACGCGGTATTAGCGGCCGGAAGGGAACGGGAGATTATTTCGAGGAAATTGGCTTCAGTAGATTGTTATTTCTAGCCATGTAGAATGGAATACATAAGGGCAGTACCTACAACTACGGTAATAAAAAAACGGCAAATGGGTCGAAGTTGGTTTTCACTGCGTTTTGTCGGCCATTTTATTCATTGAGCAGCTTTCTGGCAAATGACCAAGCTTCGTCTCGCTACTTGTTCCACTATGTGCTTACTAATAATTTATCAGTAAATATTACCTGCTTTACGGCACTGCCTCCTGGTGTTACTGCTATTTAATGATTGTCGAACGGCTGCCACCCGGGCTGCCGACTAATATATCTCTGTACGTATGCATTGTACGATATACATACAATCACGTGCACAGATCGACGAGCCATATAGAAAAAACAATATTAGCCTTTCATACAAACTGAGCAGTATCGGATTCGATTACGTGTTCTTGCCTTGAGAAGATCCTTGCTGCTAGGACACTTCTACCGCCCATTGCTAGTTACTTGCGCGATGCCTTCCTGGCAGTGTCTTACTACGTACTAATATGTATGTGTATATACATAGAGATGCGAATACCTGTTCGGCCTTTGGCCTAATGCGAAGTTACGCCGGACCGAGTCGGCAAACCCGACAAGATGGCCCTGTCTGCCCCTATGCAACCATAACGGCTTTCTTCGGTTGTTGAACGTCTGTAGACAGGTAGCGATGTACACAGAGCATGCGTAACGAAGTAGTCCATAGGGGTGGGCAGATTGATGCAATAGTCATGCAGCTGCAGGGTCGAGGTCGACGATAAGTAGTAGAGTCGCTGGAGTTATAAAGAGGGCATGGGTAAGTATGTAACCGAAGAACATGTCTGATTGACATCAGATGATTGGGAGAAAGGAAGACAACTCAAAAAGTAGTCACATTTTCGATTGCATGCTGTATGTAAACATGCATGATTACGTCGCTTTGTGATTTTCTATCTGTGAAGGATCTAAGGAGCAAGTACGATCGTAATATTAACTGCATGGTGATAAATTAATTTGTCGCTTATGACTACGTGGACCATTAGCTTGCCCTAAGCTTACGAGGCTATAAGCTGGAAATGTTGCAGTAGTGACATAACTACTTATCGGCGTTCTTTTATGACAGTCTACTCCTAAAAATAAAAATCTCTCGACGTGCAGAGTAATTGATTCATCACTCGGTAGATGAATTTATTATTAAACATGTGTTATTATTAAACACTTAACGATTAAGATTCGGGAGGCGGCTCAAAAAGTTACCCGAAATTAACTACTGGCCCTTCGGAAGGAGACCATGTGGCCCAAGAGCAGGTCATAAAGTACAACGTATTTTCATAGTATGACACGTCGACTAAAAAGGCAGCTATGAGATTCGCCTGAGTCACAGCCGGGAGACGCCCAAACACGCTGTTAATTTTACCTGTAAAAGAAAACCAATTAAAAAGAGAGATTTCCAGAAAAATTCAATTTTGGGTGGAAAATAATATTGGCAGAACCAAAATTTCGTGAGACACGATAATATTTGAACATCATTCCGACCTAAGGAAGTAGGGAAACAGGATTAGTCTGAGCCACTATAAGACCTGTAAGTGTTCAAAGCAAAACATTTAGCTTTTTCTATAAATTAGGAAATATTAGCTTTAATTAAGTATGGCTATTGTAAGGTTTA